AGGGCTGGGGTCATGAGACCCCGTGGGGCCGTGCTCCTGGCGTGTGGAAAGTGACAGGTGTGTCCCTGTGGGTGCAGGCGTCCCGGGGGGGCTGTCCCCTTTCGGCCGAGTCCAGCCGGACGCTGCTGGCCTGCGTCCTGTGGGTGCTGAAGAGCTCCGAGCCCGCCCTGCTGCACCGCTGGGCCGCCGACCTCGGCCTGCCACAGCTCGGCCGCTTCCTGGACCTGCTCTACCTCTGCCTGGCTGCCTTCGAGTACAAGGTCTGGGGGGGCCGTGCAAGGGCGGGGTGCGGGGGGGCTGGTGTGCTGTAGACCCTGGGGTGATGGGGTGAGCTGATGGAGAGGCCGGGAAGAATTTGGGGTTTGAGGGTGGGGATGGGTGAGAGGGAAAGGAGAAAGGGAGAGAGGGAGGAAAGGAAGGATGGATGGATGGATGGACGGGAGGGAGGGAGGGAAGAAGGGAGGGTAAAAGGGAAGGAGACCTGGGCGTCGGTGGCTCCCGCCTGTCATCCTAGCTACTCTGGAGGCTGAGATCTGAGGACTACAGTTCAAAGCCAGCCCCAGCAGAAAATGTCCCCATGAGACTTGATCACTCAACAACCAGAAGTGAGAGCTGCGGCTCAAAGTGGTAGAGTATGAATCTTGAGCAAAAGAGCTCAGGGACAGCTCCAAAGCCCTGGGCTCAAGTCCTATAACTGCCACAAGAAAAGAGAGAAGGAGGAATGAAACAAAAGGGGGAAAAAGGAAGGGATGAATGGTGGGAGGGAAGAAGGGGATTTCTTCCTTTTTATTTTTTCTTTCTTTTCTTTTTTTTTTTTTGTGGTCAGTCATGGAGTTTGAACTCTGGGCCTGGGTGCTGTTCCTCAGCTCTTCAGCTCAAGGCGAGCGCTCTACCACTTGGCTTTTTCTGCTTATGTGGTGCTGAGGAATTGAACCCAGGGCCTTATGCATGCAAGCCAAGCACTGACTGAGCTACCTTCCCAGCCCATCGTGAGACTCTTATCTCCAATAAACCACCAGAAAACCAGAAGTGGCGCTGTGACTCAAGTGGTAGAGCGCTTGCCTTGAGCTGAAGAGTACAGGGACAGTGCCCAGGCCCAGAGTTCAAGCCCCACGACTGACAAAACAAAGAGTCTCACAGCCTTTCCTGCCTGCCTGGGCTGGCTTTGAACCAATCCCAGATCTCAGCCTCCTGAGTAGCTAGGATGACAGATGTGAGCCACCAAGCCCAGCTCAAGGAAGGGGGATTTCTAACACTGGCTCTGGCAGAATCCCAGGCCAGCTAGACTCTTAGGACAAGGGCAGACTTCAGCCTTGACTTCCAGTTCTCTGTCCTGCAGGGGAAGAAGGCCTTTGAGCGGATCAACAGCCTCACATTCAAAAAGTCACTGGACATGAAGGCCCGGCTGGAGGAAGCCATCTTGGGTACCATCGGAGCCCGGCAAGAGATGGTGCGGCGGAGTCGGGGTGAGGTGCCAGGGGACCCTGATCTCCTCCAGCCGGCCACCCCTCATTCTCACTCACAGAGGACAGGCAGCCATGTGGGTTTTGGGGTACAGCTGTTAGCACATTTGCCTGTTATGTACAGGGCCCCAAGATCAATGCAACAGTGCAGAAAGAGAAAAAACAGCTGGGCGCTGGTGGCTCACACCTGTTACCTTAGCTACTCAGGAGGCTGAGATCTGAGGCTCAAGCCCGGGGAAGAAAATTTCCTGAGGGACTCATATTTCCAATGAACCTCTCACAACTAGAAGTGGTGCTGGGGCTCCAAGTGGAAGAGCGCTGGCCTTGAAAGAAAGAGCTCAGAGACAGCGCCCAGGCCATGAGTTCAAGCCCCACAATCTGTGTTCCCCTCTGTCTTAAGTGTGTCTGGATTATCTTTTTTTGTCTTTTCTTTTTTGGTACTGGGGATCGAACTCAGGACATTGCACTTGCTAGGCAAGCGCTTTGCCACTGAGCTACATCCCAGCCCTGGATTATCTTTTATTTTTTTTTAATCTTTTTTTTCTGCACGTCTTGGGGCTTGAACTCAGGGCTTGATCACTGTCCTTGAGTTTTTGTTCAAGACTGGCACTCTACCACTTGAGCATAGTTCTACATCTAGCTTTTTGCTGGTTAATTGGGCATAAGAGTCTCACAGGCTTTCCTGCCCTGTCTGGCTTTGAACTTGGATCCTTCAACCCTGAGTAGCTGGGATTGCAGGTGTGAGCCACCAGTGCCCCGCTGGGTCTGAATTATCTTTCCCAAACATCTCTATCCCTGGGGCTGCCTATCCTGGTCAGGTGTCTTCCGTGTTTCCACACTTATGAACACACCCTTGTGCCTTTCAGAGAGGAGTCCATTTGGGAACCAGGAGAATGTTCGTTGGCGCAAGAG